GGATATAGCTCGCTAGCAGCCTCGCACCGATGACCTATCCACGTCATAATTTACCCAGAATGCTTTGCATGTAAATAAAATTACTCTGTCCGTTTTAAGATATATTTTTAAAAATGTACAAAACAAAACATCCTACAGTATTTTATTGTCTTTATTTTACAGTTAAAATATATGTTTATCAAATAATGTCTAAAGTTACAACTAATCAGGGATCCCTTTAAGGGTTGAGCCTCCTCATGGTGTCTTCATGAAGATGATCCTTGCTCTGTGCAGGGGTCTATGGCTGCATGACCCATGGCACCTGTTCTCCTTTGTTTATGCTCTGTCTTCTTCTGAATGGGTGCTCTGACCTGTAATATCATTGTGCTCTGTACAATGACAATAAAGATCTTATCTTATCTTATCTTATCTTATCTTATCTTATCTTATCTTAAAATTCCTGGGAGAAAATAAAATGGCAGATTTGCAAAATCGGGTAGCTGAAAGTCCACATCCTTTTTCAGCATTTAAGCAGCAAATACTGTGATGTTATTGTTCAAATAATGTAATAGGTAAAAGAGAAAACTGAGCTAATTAAAAAAATATGACCCAAACCGAATATAAAGATATCTACTCAGCATCAGAAGAGACTGAGTCAATTTTTCTGCACTCTTCTCCTAGAGACTCCCAAGTACACTACRAAATGTATTTAAGGGCTAAAAAATTGGATTTTCCATATGTCCCTTTGAAAAAACTCAAACTAAAGAGCAAAAAAAATTAAAAGAAAGAAACAAAACCCAAGCAAGTTCTCTTTAACTGATCATCAGAAAGCTGCTTTGGTGCCAGGTGGTTTTAATGTTATGGATGAGGAAAGGAAAGGACCAACTAAACCTTTGTCCAATTTAATGTTCATTCATGAATTTCATGTTATGACTGGAAAAAACATCAATCCATTTGGTGCATTTCCATATCCAACTTAAGCAATTTTCCCCTCCACTCAGAGAACATTTGTCCACTAAACTCAGATCACCAAAATAAGATCTCACAACATTATGGGAATACTAAACTGAGAAGTTTTATGGCTTGACACCTTTGCTGTAATAACGTCAGGCACTCTGACAATCCGTTTTTATGGCAATTGATGCCAGTTCAGTAATTCTGAGTGACAATAGCTCCCTCTTGTGTTAAAGAATGGGATAGAGTGCATGTGAGAGAGAGAAGTGGATGTTTGGGACCTAAAAGCACCTTTTAATAAAGAGGAATTATTGTGAAGTCAGCAGTTTTGTCTCAGCTGTTTCATATGATGTGTCACAGGCTGCGGTTTTGAATGTTGACATTTTGACCTCATAAACAGGAAGTAGATTTGTTAACATGAACCGATCACTAAAGTGATAAACGTTATCAACTTTGGTAAGTTTGAAAGTGTTCAACACTTTAGAGATAAAATAATCAACATTTGCACCAAATGTGTGCTTGTTCATCTATTTATTGTTGAATGATTCACGCCTGCTGATGAAGATTTTACATGTTTGTGTTATCAAAATATCTCATGAAGCGGTGGATATGTTTTAACGAAACTCTCAGTAAGTATTCAGTGAACGTTCATCATCAATATGTTACCTTTTGACGTCAGCCCCTTTCAAGATGGCTGCCACAGCTTAGCAAGATTAGTGAACACAAACGTGTCTCTAAATCAGCTAAGTGTACTGTTGTTGAGYTAAAATTTAGTGTGGTTGTACCCGAGACTCATCTTCAACACATACTTCAAGCAATTTCTTGCAATTTCAAATGAGATTGTGCAGCATTGTTTAGAAGGTTTGTTTAAAATAGACACTAACTGGATATTAGGGGTGGACGTATTGATCTAAGTATCAATAATATCGATATCAATATGAGCAGCTTTATATAATTTTTTTTTCTTTTAACTCATTTTATTTTGTTGAAGTTACAAAACATTTTTTGGCGACAGTTTTTGTTGAGTGTTCTATCATAATTGACTAACTAAAGGCAAAAATAACATAATTACACAATGAGTAAGTACAGGATTCGGTGATACTTGCCCTGTGTTTACTTGGAATCAGATTAGTACCTAAATTCCTAGCATCGCACATCCCTACTGGATATTTCAAATGACCTCACCAGAGTTTATATCGTCAAGTCACGGCTTCTCTATAGGTGAATGTAAATAAATCAGGATTAGTGTGGGAATTCAGGTGTGTCATTAAAGCAGTCAGGCAGCTTACATTGTCAAACATGTTTCAGTTCAATGTGTTTCAGTTATGTATAAAGTGGGAGTTGTTACTGCACTCTTAAAAGTTTTAAACTGCTGAAACTAGTGGTGTATATATATAT